AAAGCGTAACAGCAGAGAAGTTTGTCTGTCTGGGAAAGTGGTGCTTTCTCCATCATATTAATGTGAGAAGGCTCCTGCTCAGTTGGACTCATAGAATTTAAAGACGGTTTCCAAACATTTACAACATGATTATATCTTAATACTTAATAAACATTTCCATGTTTTTGGGTAAACTGTTTTCCTGCTAGATTAAAGAATTAAACATGAAAGTTGTAGGAACAGATTTCTCTTCAGATTCAGATCCATAATATTTATCTAAATCATGTGTTGATTGTGTCTCCTGGACATCGTCTGTAGGAAACTCCAGGTACTCTTGTGGTGTGTGTGCTCTGTCCATTGTGGATAAGTTCCCAGGAAGCATTTGTTACATGAATGAGATCAATAGAACCTCTTTTCTTGATGTATCGACTCATTCAGGTAACCTCTGACGCCAGGAAGTCCTCCTGTGTTACAAGCTTCATTTGAAGCAGGAAGTGCCCACTTTCCTTGATCTTTAGATCTTCATTTTGACCTTCACACGCCACCAGGAAGTGTCCTTTCTGCCCGTACTAGATCTATGGACTCCTTGCAAGCTCTGATGGGAGACAGGAAGAGTCCTCTCTGTTGGATGGATGGAGGTATTCTTATTTCCTTCAAACATCCGTCCAAGTATTGTGTTGTGTAGTTAATTTCTTTCTCGCTGATGGTAAATGAGTCCAGACAGCTGCTGAATGCGATACATAAATAGTCCAGTATAATATGTCAAACGCTGAACCACAACACCAGCAAACTAGTCCTAGAAGCTTTGACTGTGGTCATATTTTCTGTGGGCAGAAATTGCTGCATCGAGGGACAGACATTTCAGGTATATTTCCTAAAAGCAATACCATTTTAGAGCAGATTAGATCATTTTGTATGCATCCAATAAAGTTGAAGATGTATATTCAATGTGTATAACTGTAACATCTTAAATGTCTTAAATGTCCATTTGAGCCATGTTGTACTTTGTCTTTGTTTTTTAAAGAAAGGAAAATCCACCTGAGAAATGTTGAAAGCTGGTTGGACTGAACAAACTGCACTTTTTTAGTCATACCAACCGTCCATCCATTACCTTACACGCTTGTCCCAATTGGGGTAGAGAGGGGTGCTGGTGCCTATCTCCAGCAGTCAATGGGCGAGAGGCAGGGTACACCCTGGACAGGCCGCCAGTCCATCGCAGGTCATACCAACCATTTAAAATTAATTTCAGTCATACAGTAAGCTACAGGGTATGAAGATGTAAAGAACTTGGGGTGTGGTGCACCATCAAAGGATGCTTTGACATGAAGCTGGAATCAAACCTCCTCACTGCATTGTCTTTAAGAACTATAAAAAATGGGGAAAGAAATCTGGAAAAGCAAATACGCTATAGAGAGAAGATAAAACAATGGGGAAAAAAAGACAGCAAATTACAAACAATTACTGTAAAGAAGAGATATGCAAAAAAAGATGGCAGGAAGATTAGAGTCTACTTTAATAAGAAAACCACAAAGAAAGATAAAGGTAGAGAAATCCTTTATCTGGCAGAACGGGAATTCACAGAAAAAAGTCAGTAATGATAAAATAAATAAAACAGTAAAAAAAAAAGAAAAAAAAAAAAGCAAAGAACACAATAGCAGAGAACATTTAAAGTATAATGGAAGTTATTTTCGCCGCAAGAAAACATTACATAGAGGATGCCAGCTTCTCTGTCAGCAGCCTCTGATGTTGCTGCCGCTTCTCCCTGCAGATCTTCGGTATGAGATGAGTTTGGCTGCAATATGAAGTTTCTCCAAGACTCAGAGGAGAGTCTGGCTGAAATTTGGATGAGGATGATGATAAAGTCTCATGCCATCATTACAAGCAGGCGGCACTATGTGAGTTTTAGATTACATAGATCATAAAGTGTGTCACATTAAGCATATTACAGGTTTAATTTTAATATTTCCTATTCATTAAATATGTTCATTATATCCACTAATGTAAACAAACCCATGTGCAAATTTATAAAATAGACTAAACTAGTTTTTGTTCGACGTAAAAGACAAAACACGGCCAGAAACTTTTTTTCATCAGTTATCTTAGGAACAGGCCAGTCACAAGGATGAAAGCTGAACCTTTGGAGTTTTACTTTGCTCAGATCACTAACCTTGTGGTTATGTTAGACAGAACAACAACTGGACAACTGCTATATGTTAAAGTATATAGAATATATTAAAGTTCATAAACAAACCCAAAACATAACCAGTTCTTTGTTCACAGGATATTTCAGTGGTTCTCCTCTTTTCATACCTTTTACTTGGTTAAACTTTAATGTTCATGATTTCTCTCTACTTTTTCTCATCATATAAGCTACATCTGGCTTGGTAGAAGCTTGATTCTATGTTTTGGAACCTTGGTAGGAGAACCTTTTTATTTAGCTGTGAGATCTTGTTTATTACCTATAGGCGCCATAGTTGTCATTGCCCTTACAATGACAACTTATGCCAAAAGTTCAGGGAATATAATATTATCATCTTTTAGAACTTACTGTAATCAGCCCACCCCATGGTCTGTACAATTCCATGAAGACTTGAGACAGGACATTTATTTTATTTTAACATTATTGATTTAATACAAAGACTTGATGTTTTACTCTGAGCTTAGTACGGTACAATATTTATTATCATCACTTAAAAAGGTTTTGAAGTACCTTTACCATTTGGAGTAAAAGATTTTGACAGTTCAGCAACTAGTGAATTTCCTGGTGAACACTGTACTGTACACAGTGGAAAATGGAAAACCTAATCATTTGGAAATACTGACATCTAGTGAAAGATGTGAAAAACATATAAGTCGAACAAACCTTTTTTTTGTAGATAAAAATATAAACGTGTTTCTTTCTTTTTTTTTAATGTATAACTTTTTACTACTTTGAACCATATTGAACTTTTACGTGAGAGTATATTAGTATTAACCCTTTAACACCGGGTTTTTTTTTTTAACCACCTGGTTATATAATAGAGTGATAGAGCGTATTCAGAAAATGAAAAAGTGAAAGCATTGATAGGGGAAGCTGAAAGATATTCTAGAAGAATATAACACCACTGTGTTGACCACTATTACCGGTGCAGTGGAGATGAGACGACAGCTGCTTGAAAACCTAACACTTTATAGGAATCTCAGCGAAATATTCTGATATCCAAAATTTCCATCATGAGTGTTATTGGAAGACAAAACCTATATGGGGACATAATTATTGCAATATCATTTGCAAATGTGTCCGGAGAGTTGTGTGTGTGTGTGTGTATTTCGATTTGTGTGCAGTAGGATTTGAAAATGTGTGAGCAGAGATGTGTCTGTACTAGAATCTGCACATTTTGAAATAACTTCCCTGTAATCACATATGCAAATGTATAAAAAGTCCATAAATCTGTATTCCGATCTACAAACATGTGCTAAGATTTGCTAATATGTGTACTAAGATCTACAAATGTGTAGATCAGTCTGTAAACAGAGACTCTTATGTCTGAAGTATCAACACCCAGAAATACAGACAAATCATTGGTTACAAGTCAAACGTTTTCTCGCTTGGCTCTCTTTACACGTGTGATTTTTGCAATAACCCTCAAAGCATTAAAGAGGCCTTACTTTTCTAATGATACTGCCACCTGTTGACAAAACATGGAACTGCAGCATTCTTCTGCTATTTCTTGTAGCTCTTGCTTAAGGTTTTTTTGTCTGTTTGTTTTTTACCTGGATGTCGGTCCCCTCTGAATATCGATGAAATTATTCTTGAACATAACGTTTAAATGGTGGCTAGGTCGGACCCATTTAACAGCACAGAAACTTCTGGTAACCATTAAACAGGCTTATTGCTGCATCACTGCTGAACTACTGAGGTGTCAGTCTACAAATCAAATTATGTTTCAGTCATTAAGTATCAAATAGAAAGGCTAGTTTAAAGAAAGTTTTAAGAAAAATGTACATAATGTCTCTTTAATGCTGATAAAGGAACATGAAATATTTACTTTTTAACTTATCTAATTCTAACTTTTTAATTAGCGTTTTAATGTTTTAAATGAGCTAATTAAATTTTTTACTTAACTGATAGACATTTTTAAAATTAATTAACTTTAGGTAACATATCACAGACAGTAGGCAACATAAGGACGCTATCCTTTTTAGCAGTTACACTCATCTTTAAGACAGAGGTGGATCTTGCAGACCCTGCAGAATCACAGATATAACAAGAACTTCTTATTCACAAGCTAAACACTCTGTAGAAAGGTGCTAAAATAGATCTCAAAGTATTTACTTTAATAATTGCATATCTCGGCAGGTCTTATATTTATTTTTCTGTTTCATTGACCTGAAAATTCTTAACATTTAAAGTTATGTTCTGGAAATGTTCAGTTTTTTTTTTTTTTTTTTTTAGCATATTTATTTTTCTGTTTCATTGACCTGAAAATTCTTAACATTTAAAGTTATGTTCTGGAAATGTTCAGTTGTATTATTTTGTTATCATTAATTTATTTAGTTGATTTGCTGAAAATAATCATCACTGATAAAAAAAAAAATCCTCCTTTTTCAGTGTTTTATAACGTTATTTTCTAGTATACCTTTTCATGTTAATGTCTCACTAATGATTGTTTTGTTACTCATTAAAGGCTATCATATGTAATATTTCTTATAAAGGCAAACATTCCACTTCCTAAAAACGTGTTACTTACTGTTTTTAAGACCAATAAAACTATTGGTCTTGAAAAGTTCAATTGCAAAAAGTCAGAGCTGCTTTTTATTCCATATTTTTTAAACAACCACATTGATTGAAATTAGTTTGATTACAAGAAACAGACCCTTACCATTCAGACATTATTTATGGAAATATTATTTAAAAGGCTTTTTTATATCATCATTTTTTACTTGTTATTGGAGCCTATTTATCTGAAGAAAAACAATCCTTTGAGTTGGAGCAGCTGAGGTTTGGTCTGTCTGAATAAACTCCATCTCCCATCATCCTCTTGTGTCACACCACAACAAACGAGAGAGGTTCAGCAGCTGGGGCAGAAACCCCACGGGCTGCGTGGAAACAGACAGAAATACAGAAGGATTTTTCCACCCCTCTTCTTAAATGGAGGTTTTCGCCGCAGCACAGCAGCTGAACTGACGCAGAAGAGTCCGCAGAAATGGCTAAAACCCAGGAGGTGGAGCGCATCGCCAAAAAGCTGGATAAAATGGTTCAGAAGAAAAACACGGTGAGATCACAAAGCAGTTGCTGCATCCGCGGAATGAGGACAGCAATCAGCTGATGCCTCCACTTAACTGGACAGAGAGGGAAGATTCTGGAAACACTGTCTGCTCTGCAGGACATCATCTCGGTGTTTTTAATGTTGCTGCTAAAACAGACAGTTTTCTGCTCGTTTTAAAGTGTTTTGTTGGATCTGAATCTCAGCAGCCATTGGTCACAAAGTTGCTCAGAAAAACAGACGCACCTGGAATGAGTTACGTCATCTGTTCAGTAGTTTTTTGCTTAATTTGATTTGACCTACACTGATTAACTTGCTCTTAGGTATAGCATGGCATGAATAATAGAACTTCAAAAAAAGAGCACTAAAAACACTTTAAGCTCTAAGTTTGATTTATCTAATGTTTTATTTAAAATGATAAATTAAGGGATGACATTGATGCATGGAGGAGGGTTTTCTTAATTAATTTTATTGTCTGGATAGCCTTCTAACCCAATAAGCTCGCTAAAAGTGAATGTTAAACATATCCTACAAATCTACCATCAAGCTGCAGCTGTATACTTTACCGTGTTCTTCAGTAGGGCCAGATAAAGGGGGGGTGGAGTGGATGGTTGTAAGTCACACTTTAAACAAGAGTAGGTTTGATTTTACACAATTTGTTAAGACCAGCCCATAAACTGTTTTATTAGATTTTAAATAGTAAGCACAGAAACACT